CCCCCCCCCCCCCCCCCCCCCCCCCCCCCCACAACTGGATGTTTCTTCGTGATACCAGCATCAACGACCCTCAAAACCCTCCTCTTATTCCAGCAACTTCTCCTTGTGCTGCTCTTTCCTCTCCTCAACCTGCCAACGATTTTCATTCCCGCATTTTTTCTATGCTTCCACGGCCCCTCTGATTCTCCTACCCTCACCATCTCTTTCTCCTCGGCACCTGCTCTCCTCCTCCTCCTCCTCCATCTTCCCGTCGCTCCTGCTCCATCATTCACCCCTCCTCTGCCTTCTGCTTCTCCTCCTCCTCCTCCTCCTCTCCTTCTCCTCCACCTTCTCCTCCTCTTCCTTCCCCCCTTTCTCCTGTTCCTCCTTCCCCCAGATGCACTGATAATGACGACACCACCAGATTTTCATTCCCGCATTTTTCATGCTTCCGCGTTCGCTCGGCTTCTTCTACCCTCCTCTCATTCCTCCTCCTCTCCTTCTCCTCCTCCTCTCCTTCTCCTCCACCTTCTCCTCCTCTTCCTCCCCACCTTTCTCCTGTTCCTCCTTCCCCAGATGCACTGATAATGACGACAGCACCTGAATGTCAACTCTGGCCGTCATTTTCTCCTTCCCGCTCAGTCATTTTCTGCTTCCCCTCGAGTTCTACCGGCGCTTTGAAATTGATCAGCAGCCCGATCTGGTCCACATCTACATATTACAGTATGTGCACTCCATAACCTCCCTCCTCCTTTCTTCATCCCGCCCTCCCCCCATTCCTCCACCTATTCTCCCCGCCCACCTCTCCTCCTTCCCTCCTCCCATGCCCTCCCCTCCCCCCCCTCGGTCCTGTCTCTTATACACATCTAGATGTGTATAAGAGACAGGTCTAGATTTGACCATTCTGCTTCTAGACCAGTGTCCCAATGCCTGCACCTAAGCTGGGTAATGGTCCTAGTATCAAAGTTGTGCGTTTTTCTTTTCCGAGTTGTTTGTCGAGGTGTTCCCGGCCTCTTTCTTTTTGGTGTGGTAATAAGAATGAGCAGAGCTTCTGTTAAAAAAAATAAAAAATAAAAAAATAAAAATAAAAAAATCAAATACTTCATTTTCATAATGAAAAATAAGATATATATGCATTTTTATATGAACTTTCTTTTTCGGATTTTATTGAATATAAACCAGAATTTCCTTGTTTACTAGTAGATAAAATAAAGAAAATAAACTTTAGATTTATGCTATACTTCGGTGATAATTGCAATGATTTCTTTTGTATAAAACGCATCATAAGGTAAGGCACAGCCAAGGACGACAGGCTGCCCCCGACAACATCAGTCAGATCCCCCAAAAGGGCCCCAAGCATTTAAAAAAAAAAAAAAAAAAAAAAGGAATTGGCAAACAGGGTTGCCCTGTTAGGAGCAGTCGCACGTAGACAGTGATAGCTGAAATGAAGCTGCACTGTGGAGTCATGGATCCAAGACTCCGCCCACGGCACATCATCTTGTAGAATTTGAAAGCAGAATATAGCTTAGTTTGGTATTAAGAAAAAAAAAAAAAAAAACAGGTGGTGGACTCATGGCTCCGCCACGTCACATCCTCTTATCTTACATAATGCCAAATTGAATCCTGCACACTAACTGGGGGCTAGGTCCCACTTACACGAATTAAGAGAGAGATATTGACCGTAGATAGCACACAGATCAACGGTCAGAATCTCGTAATCCGTACAAGTGGGACCTTGCCCCGGAAATCAAGTAACGACGATTTTCGGCAACACAAGGCACCTTCATCATGACTGTTTCGGACCGGAAATATCGCTTGTATACATTCATGACCGGAGTGCATTGTTTTCTTTGTTTGTTTGTTTTAAATACAGAAAACTCTCTGAAGTGATTAGGAATTTTGATAAGAGCATCCCCTCCTAGTCAGCCCATCGATAGTCCAGTCTATCGGTGGGGACCACTCGAACGGGAAATCAAGTTACGACGATTTTCGGCAACACAAGGAACCCTCAGAGCGACTGTTTCGGACCGGAAATATCGCTTGTATACATTCATGATCGGAGTGCATTGTTTTCTTTGTTTTTTTTAACATACAGAAAACTCTCTGAAGTGATTAGCAATGATGATAACAACGTTCATTCCTGGTCAGCCCATCGATAGTCCAGTCTATCGGTGGGCAATATCACTTGCTGAAAACCGGGTCCGCTTCCCAAATAAAACATACTGTCTGAAAACATGATTTTGGAGGGAGTAGACCACCGCAGTGGATCTGTAATCTGTCATATGGGACGCTGGGGCCGGTTCCCAGCCGAAACCGGTCGGATCAGCCACGTTGACAGCGGTGCCCGTCATTTTTCATGATAACTTTTTACGCGGGCTGCCGCGTTCGGGTTTCGATTTGCCCTCGGTTCTACCTTGCATTTTCTTCTTCTTCTTCTTCTTCTTCTTCTTCTTCTTCTTCTTCTTCTTCTTGTACATGGATGTTACAGCTGAGTGATTGCTTTGTCGTCTACACTTATTTGCTGCATGCTGTTGTCTACGACAACTACGGTTCCCAGCACGTGTCGCTCCCGACGAATAGATTGGAGCATTGTTTAAGTAAAAAAAAAAAAAAAAAAAAAAAAAAAAAAATTGTTCGGGGGAATACGGGAAGTTTTGCCCCCAACGAATGGGCGGCGCCTCTACACGAAAGGTAAGCTTTGGTGCCTACCGTCTTCACCCGGATAGAACGCCCGGTCATTGTCACTGCATCTAGACTGGAAGTTGCACCCAATACAGCTATAATAACCGGGCGTCCTATTCGGGTGAAGACGGTAGAGGTTTTCTCATGCGCATCAGTTCCCCCCTTCCCCCTAGTTAAGAAAAATCAGGAAAAAAAAAGAGAAGAAAAAGTTCACTACTAGTTCTCATCGCCGATCTCAAACTGTGATAGGGAAGATATTACTGTTTGATGACGTGGTCGAGCTCAAAGTGTGATTATACAAAATTGATGACGTGGCAAGATTGATGACGTGGCAAAACAAAGAGTGATGACATGACAACAATGATGACATGGCAGGCTTCATGACGTGACAGAGATTGATCATGTGACAAGATTGATGACGCGGCAACATTAGTGACGCGGCTTGACGTCACAAAATAAAGAGACTGATGATGTGACAAGATTGATGACGTGGCAACATTAACGACGTGACCAGCAAAACAAAGAGACCGATGACGTGACAGAATTGATGATTTAATGGGTTTTTTTTTTTTTTTTAAGAGCGACGGCCTTGAGATATCATAATCGAACTGATCGGCCCTAGGTAATTCAGAACTGTAGGTTTTTTTTTTTTTTTTTTCCCTTTTCTTTACAAAAGCAGGGCGACATCCTTGGGATATCATCGTGAAACTGACCGGCCCTAGGTAAGCAGCAACATTGTTCATCTGGTTCCATGTCGATTCGAACTCAGGTTTGCATTTCAACAATTTACAGGTGTTCCAACTGAGCTAAGCCCGTTGGTGAAATACAGACCGGAGTTCGAACTCCAATTGGTATTACGAGTTCGAACTATTGCAGCATTTCACTCGTCTGCTCCCAGTGGAGTTCGAACCCGCTCTCATAATACCAATTGATAGCTTCTCTTGCCCACTGTCCAACCACCGATTCATTCGACTAATCACTACTTGTTTGAGAAATTTTCACTCTACGGCTAAGCTACCAGAGTGGCCCGGGGTCACTTGCCTGGCCGGGCAAAAATAATAAAATAAAATAAAATAAAATAAATGTTTTATTTTAAATTTGGTGAAGAATTTCGATGTGACCCTGAGGCAAAAGTTGTTCAGTTTATTTTTCTGCATAACATAGTTTTTTTTCAGAATTTTTGGATTTTTTTTTTTTTTTTTTTTTTTGCTGGGACCTTACCTGATCCTTGCACGCGCTGGCCACCCGGGACCCGGGCGGCCCGGCTGGTAGCCTAGCTCTACGGTGAAATTTACGCGAAAAAAAAAACAAATTAAAAATAATAAGAATAAGAATAAGAATAATAAGAATAAGAATAATAAGAATAAGAATAATAAGAATAAGAATAAGAATAATACTCATAATACCAATCGATAGCTTCTCTTGCCCACTGTCCAACCACCGATTCATTCGACTAATCACTACTTGTTTGAGAGATTTCACTCTACGGTGAAAATTACGCGGAAAAAAAAACAATGAAAAATAATAATAATAATAATAATAGGTTTGGTATCCGTAACAAACGCGCTCTCATAATTCCAATTGATTGCTTCTCCTGCCCACTTTCCAACCACCGATTCATTCATTTATTTTTCTTCACTCGTCTGCTTCCAGTGGAGTTCGAACTCAGGACCTGGTCTGTATTTCAACAGTTCAGTTCAGGGGTGTACCACGTGAGCTAGGCCAGTTGGTATGAATTAATGGTTTACAAGCAGGTAATCCCTCGACTGAATCCAAAAAAAAAAAAAAAAAAAAAAAAACTTGATGAAATTAGATGAACAGAGGTAGTGTAAATTTTGTCAGAAGATAACTGTGAAAAAAAATTATTCCAGAATATTTGATGACGTCACAGGGTTGATCACGTGAGGGGGTTAGCAGTCCAGTGCTGTTTTGTCTTCGCCCCCCGCCCCAAAGAAAAGAGGGATTTTGATGATATGCAACCACACAAACGTATTTGAGGACAAAATACTCCATTGGCTTAACAACCAGGTACATGTGGACGCAGGTTTTTTTTTTTTTTTTTTTTTTTTTTTAATTCGTGGCATCCTTGCGCAGTGGGGCATACTAATCTTCTCGGATGTTCCGAAGGACGACACAGGGATATCATGAATCTCAGGAGTCGATTTGGCTGGCACCTGTTTTCCTCGTTTTCAAAAGATTACAAGGAGGGGGGTAAGCCCCAACATTGTTGTATTTGTCTGATTATAACCAGTTATCGAAGTCATGATCCGTTTAGAAACAAAGTCACGTGTATACAATTTAGCCCCGCATTCGGTGGGGAAAGTCTGCATAAAGTCTGCAATCCGACTTTTTTATATATACAGATTGCATATATATTATATATCTAGGCTACCAGAATGGGCCGGGGTCACTTGCCCGGCCGGGCCAAAATATATATATATATGGCCTTGTACGTAAGAGGTGACGAACAGGTGGGGCTTTCCTTCCTTCTTTTTCTTTTTCTTGTTCTGTCTTTTTCCGCCTTTGCGCTCTGATTTCCATTGTGACAATATATATAAATAAAAACAATATTTTTAAGTTTTATTTTTATTTTAAATCCGGTGAAGAATTTCGATGTGGCCCTGAGGCAAAAGTTGTTCGATTTATTTTTCTGCATAACATACACCCGGCTGGTAGCCTAGTTATATTGTCACACTGTGAATCGGAGCGCAAAGGCGGAAAAAGGCAAAACAAGGAAAGGAAAAGAAGTAAGGAAAGCCTCACCTGTCCATCACCTCTTACGTACAAGGCCAGCCACGTGGATGACAGGTTGAGCGCTGGCTGCCCCCATCCCCGTGTGTCACAAGGACCCACTTGTACGCAACCAAAAGGCAAAAAAGAGGTAAAGAAACGGAGGAAACCTCCTGACAGGGAACCAAAGCAAATGACACATCCCACAGATAATCCAAGTGTCACAAAGCAAATAACACATCCCACAGATGAACATATTTTTTCTTTTTCCTTATCTTTTTTTTTTCTTTTTTTCTCTTTTTTTCTTTTTTTCTTTAACTGTTCCCACCTCGGCAGATAGGACAGCTACGGTGAGGATGATGTTGATGTTCTTGCGCCAGCACAGCATTCAGCAGGACGGCTAGCACGAACCATCCCATCAAAACAGTCCTGACAGAGGACATGTTGTCCACATGTCAAAAACACAGCAGCACGTTCATCACAGTGCGGCATCATGCAGTTCTGATAGCGTCCTTGGGCACAAAAGGGACAACGTATATCTGGGTGATAGGGATGTGTACAATGAGGAAATGTTGGACACC